CTAGTAGTCTAGTAGTCTAGTAGTCTAGTAGTCTAGTCAAGTAGTAGCAGTAGCAGTAGTAGTAGTAGTCGTCGTCGTCGTCGTCGTCGTAGTAGTCTAGTATTAGCAGCAAGATCTGGAGGTGTAGTTCTCAAGTGGGTTTCCAACCCTGTACTTCGTGGTGTTTCACTGTTTGGGGTTTGCCTTATACTGAGTCGCGGGAGGCTTGTTCCCACGTGCCTGAGGGATCCCACTGCTGCCAGCCTTCCATGCCCCGGAATTCGGATGCACGCAACCTATCGGATTTGCACGAACGCTGTGACCAAAAGTCCCAGAGGGCCGGTGAGAACTCAGCAGGCACATGGAGCGCTAGTCCCTCCCCTTGCCAGGAAAGCCGCAGCCGGAGGACTGTGGGAATCAGAAGCTTTGTGCAGAGAGAACTTATTTTGCGCCTGATTGTTTTATGGTAAAGGCATGCACCGAGAAGAGCCCCACCGATACACCTTCACAGCAACCGTCTCACGGTTCAGAAAACTCTGCCTGCCTCATGTCTCGGAGGGGCCGGAGGCCAGTCAATAATACTTGCACCTACTGTTGCGCAAGACGGACTGGATTCTGAGGTGGGCCACACGCATTCGCCAGTGCGGCAAAATGAAGGACTTGCAGGGCGCTTTGGCCGCCATGGAAGAGGCGGATGCTGGCTGATGTATTCGGGGTTGGAGGGTAGGCACGATCTGGCATTTTGGTGCTTGAAGTGCCATGTGGGATCGCAGAATTTCGGCAAGCTTTTGTGTGCAGAAGCCGGCCAGGCCGTTGCAGCTGGAGTTTCCAGCCGTCAAAACCAGGAAGTTCAGAATGCCTTGCTGCACAGCCTGGTCCAGTGCCTGCTGGTGGCATCTAGTGGCTGGTGTGTCCAACGACAAACGTATCCATCGAGCACCCACGACACCATGCGACACATTCTGAGGCGGTGATGCTGCTGGAGATACTGCCTCAGATCTCTTCAACCGGCTGAAGGAAGAGAAGAAGCTTGACTGCACTGTTGGGCGGTTGGGCGTGCCTGCGCGAGCATGACCACATGATCTGACAAGGAAAGCAGATGTGGTGACGTTTAACATCATGCTGCGGTCCCTGCTCAGTGCAGGGAAGCGCGAAGAGGCTAGGCAGTTTTTTTCCCTCAGCTCAGAAGTGTCCTCGGCTTGCAAATGGGCTATGCCTGATGGTCTGATAGGCGCAAGCTCTTCTCAAGGAGATGAATGAGCATGGACTCTCTGCCAACAAGGCTCTGCTGTTAGTTCGTGACATCTTGCTGGAAGTTGCTTCTGTGCGGCTTTCTGAGGTGACAATAGCTGAGCTGCTTAGTGATCGAGTCCGGGCTGACGATGCAGACGGGATATGGCGCATAGTTGCAGGGGCCTTATCCAGCTACCAGCGGTACAGGCATTTGACTAAACTGACTCCTCCTTGCAGCTGAGGACTGGATGAAGAATACCGACTTTGGCATTACGAACGCGGCATGCTCTATCCTGCTCAAAAGGACGTGTCCGCTCAGTGCTCACGTTGTCGGAGCTCTTTTGGCCCTGCAAACCCGGAATACCTGGGCTCATACACTCCTAAACCCCAAATCCTCCTTGCTCCCGGCTCAGCCCCGAGCTTGCTTTCAGCAGTTGACAACTCGAGGATCACCAGCGAGACCGTTGCGGATGAGGCCTGGGGACTTGCGGTTGAAGCCCGCTCCATGTTGAGATATCCAGGATATACTTGTAAACCAACCTTTGGAGCCCGATTCAGAAAGATTTTCATAACGCCTTGGTAATCTCCTTAGGAAGAAAGGCTTGAAGTAATTCGGACTGGAGCTTCCCGGCGAGGTCGACCGTTCCTTTGCCCTCATCGACCAGCTGTCGGAGCCTGTGGATGAGGCACTCTGTTCGCAGGCGGCGGCGAGACGGGGCACTCAGACTCAGAATAGACTTATGCGGTAAAGGGGGAAGCTGGAGGGGGGGGGGGGTGGGGCAGACTCCGAGCATTTGCCTCGGGTCTGCGACCATGCAAGTCTAGGACTTCCGGGCCATCGGCAAGTGATGCCGAGACCCAAGCCGCCAGGTGATCGAGGCAGCGATTCGAACCAGTCGGCCGGCTGTGGCGAACAAGTTCATGGAAATGCCGCTAGACAAGAGCTTTGCAATGGTGGCATTATCAGACTTGGACTTCGGGAGTGTAGCGAACCGGAGACTCCAGGTTGGGTTCGCTTCGCAACAAGAAGAGCGGTGGCTCCAGCGCCGCGACCTTCGGCTCCATGATCAAACTCCACGGCCAGAACCGGGATCTGCAGCAGGTCTGGTCCGAGTCTCAGGTTTCCCACCTCGCAAGGCCCCCGGGCGTGCGCGAGGTTGTTCCAGGATCCTGCGATTTTGAAGTCAACTCAGGTCCACATGGAATCTGATGCGTGAGAAGGGGGTGAGCCCATCATCCGTCACCCTCGGATGTATGGTGGAAGCCCTCGTGACTCTTTTCTGCAGAGGGCGTTGGTTCATCAATTCATGTAATGTTCATTACCAAGGCACGGAGGCCCCTCTCATAAGGATCGCCCTCGCACTCGGCCGTCTAGCACATGTGCAGTTGGCTTGCCGATTCCTTCTAGGAATTGCGGAGCAGTGGATGACGCGGCTTCCCTGGTGTGGCTCAGCGGGCATTTTGTCGGGTAGTCTGAGCAGGATGTTCGGTCAACTCCGGCCCCCCACTGAAAGAAGTCGAGTCTAAGTCTAAAGAAGGTGTTTTGCTGAGACCATGCCCAACGACTCCAGGCACCAGACGGCAGCAGATGGACTGGGCTTCATCCTCAACACCGTGGCTGGCCTGATCCCACAGAAGCAGAGTAGCCGGCACCCGAAATTCCGTGAAGGACCACGAGATTTGGGGTTATGAGGATACTGCAAGTGCAAGCCTCCTCTTGTTTTGCAGATGGTGGGAGTTCCTGACAGCAGTAGCTTCTCCCAGTTAACCCAGGTCATCTACTCTTCCCCCAAACCCTAGTCATACAGTAGCCCGTAAGACCTGCAAAGAACGGTTTAAAAGTGCAAGCTCTCAACCCAGGTCATCTACTCTTCCGTCATCAAGGGCTTTGCCCAAGCCAAGCAGCCCGAGAAGCTGGGCTCTTGTTAAGGAACTTCATTTGAGTTACCATAATGGGAACCTATAGTACATAATAGGAGTCTACAGTAGATACTAGGAATTTGTAGTGCATAATAGGAATCTTTGGTACACGTTATGGTTCCTAAGAACCCAGGAAGTGCTTCGACGTGCTGGACGAGATGGAAGAGCAAGGCCGGCGAACAGTAACGAAGGCCTACTGTAGGGGCCTGAATTTAATAATTACCTATACTACTTTGGGGGGGTCCCTTATTATAAGTGTAGTATAATATCCTCCAAAACCCGATTCTAATTCTTAAGGCCCCTATATCACGGGGGGACCATCATACCATCAGGGTTACTATAAGGGCTATATGGCTTACTTTATTTTGAGGCTGGCGAAAGACGATGGGTGTAGACTTTAGAGGGGTTACCATAAGGGCATGCGATCGTATGTTTTGTCTTTATCACAGCCCAGAAGAGCAGCAACGACACCATTGCCAGGAATCCCTGGCAACACGATCACCTACAACACTCTGCTGGACGCATGTGCCAAGTGCGGCACCATGTCGCGAGTGCCGGCGGTGTTCGAAAACATGAGGTGGCGTAGTATGGGTGGCCGTAGCAGTGTTAGAATAAGGTTTTGGGTTACAGAACATACCCCGCAACCCTGTTCTAGCATGTAGTATGCCTATGTCTGAGCCATAAGATAACTCCAGCTCGTAATCCTTCAGGGTTCATTGGGCGCGACATCGTGCTAAGGGCGATGTCGTGCGAGAGCACAAATCAATCAGCCCATCGTAGCCCTAATCACCCTACATATCCTATAATTAATATACTATAATATGCTAAAAATACTATAATATACTATAATATACTATAACATACTATCAGTAGACTGTCCCAAGCATCCTGGCAGGCAAAGGCAAGTTGAACCGGATCGGATCACGTATTCGACGCTCATCAAAGGCTACTGCGTCGCAGGCGCTGCATGCTCTTGCTTTTCTGGCATGCATGGCTAGGGCGTTCGGGAAGCGCAGAGCGTACGTACTTGCAGCGCCTTCAAACGCAAGAGCTGTTTGCATTTCTTGACTTGGCCAGGCGAGCTGGACTGTGCCTTCAAGCTCTTTGAAGAGCTGAAAGCAGACGGCAAGCTGGACTTGGATGAGATAGTGTACAACTCGCTCCTCGACGGTTGCGGACGGAAGCAGAAACCCCAGAAAGCAATGGAATACTTGCAGGACATGATCAGCACCTCAGGCAGCATAGTCTTCTTCGGTCCAGGAAGTTCTTTTCCTCTCTGCAAAGTTTTACCATGGAAGCTCAATGGTAAGACTACTTGACTCATCGATCTTCAGCCGAACCTCAGGTGCAGGAATTCCACCCTCCAACTACACGCTCAGCATCATGGCCGCTTGTCCTGCAAGAGCGTGCTTGGCCTTGCTGTGTGGCTGCGGAATTCTGTGGAGAGTCTACTGCCGTTGCAGCGAGGTGTTGTTGAGAAGGTTGTTTCAAGCCGAGGGGTCAAATTGCTCTTCTGTTTTCTGGAAGAAGCCTGAACAGTCCTAAAGTTTCGCTGCAGGGAGCATATGGGCCTGTAGCATTCGAGGTCAAACTTCTGGGCCGCGCCCGGCGGCTCAACGATGCGCTCAAGCTGGCAAGTGACTACCAGAAGGACTGCCCTTAATATCCTTAATTACGATAAGCATAAGTATTAATATTGTGAATTATTGATGACAGTACTGCTACTGACTATCAATATAGTTATTGCAGGTGTACCATACTATCCATGTCGTCTTAAGTTTGTGCTCTAAAAAAACTCGAAAACCCTGCTCTAATTCTCGGGTGCACTGCTTTCCTAGGAGGTCGGGGACTAAGAAGATATGGTGGGAGCAGAATCAAGGGGGGTTCGACTGTAGGACAGACAGATGGCAGACAGCTGCCTCGCACATGCACAGCTTTTTTCGAAGTGCCAGGACTTCGGATTGAAACTGAACGTCCAGGTCTTCACCTGCTTGATGCAAGCATGCCTTCTGAATAAGACGCCCGGCTGGAGTTTTGATGTTGCAATGAGATGCATTCTTGCATGGCTATTCCCCAAAGGAAGGTGCCGAAGGCCATGCAGATCTACAATGACATGATCAGTGATCGACTCGGAGCTTCATCGCTGTGTGTGCGCGCAGTTGAGGCCTAGTTTCTGTACTCCGGAATGTTACCTACTCTGCTGCTTCGCATTTGCTGACCTGTGAAAGAAACCCCGAGAGCGCCACAGGTGAGCTGGGACGTTTACCAGACCGGAAAGCCCACACGGTACTGGTGGCGCACAGCTCAGAAGGGGTCCCTTCTGAGGTTTCGGGCAGCCCCGATGAGTGGCATATAGATGGTACGCCGAAAAGCTGGTGTAGCGCGCTTCGCGTCTTGTGGTACGATACAGAATGAAAGCATGATAAGTCATAATACAGTACAAGATAATGTACTATACCAGAATATAGTGGTATATTGTGATATATACATAGTACGTGTTAAGTCGCTTGCATAACGGTCGGCTTGCCCAGGATGGCTGCATCCAAGCTGCCGCCTTTGCCGAGGCGACTCAGGTGCGGGAGAGAGGGAGCCTCGCTAGCCTTTTTGAGTAAGCAGTGTGCACGCCATTCGCTTCGAGTCTGTGTCTCATCTTGCATCCACCTCAATTCCTTTGCCTTTGCGTTTTCGTAGCCTGATAAAATCTGGTCGCAAAGCGGCAGTTTGGCATGTGCACTCACCAGTCCGCCAGCTATTAGCTATGTGTCACGAAGGTCGCACGAATCGCGTATGACCTGCAGAAGTGGCGCCCTTAGAGGCTGAAGATCGAACCTAGAGCTGAGTGATGCCCTGGGCCCTGAGTCAAGCGACATGCTGTCAGGAGACTCAAGAACCAATTAAGGTTTCAGGGAGTTTGGATGCATGGTAGAAATCTCATGTGTGCACCCCAAAGCTCCGGTGCCTGATGGCTCACAGTCCTAGGCCGGAGGTAGCGGTGAGATTCCGCTCAGATGAACCTGTCGTGCACTCAGAACTCAGACGGTCGGTCAGCATTGGCTGATCACATCTTTGCACACCGCAGGGCAGACTTTTCGAGGTTCGGGGGACGGGTTTCTGGAGAGATTTCGAGGTCGGTGTGGACATGAAGACCTTGTCCGACCTGGCCGGGAAGGCACAGCCTCTGAGTTGTCCGTCCATCCCAGCTTGCATTTTGGGGAGGCTTTCTTTATTCTTTTGACGAGCAGAGGCTCGCAACGACTATATGAAAGCGTGCATCTATCAGCATGCGCTTAGCATTATGAGGGTGTGCAGATGCCCAATATCGAAAAGCAGAACCCGGGCTTTAGACTTCCGGCTTGCAATGAAGTCGCATCTCCATTTACAGTACGTCTTATGGCCGTGCTTCGAATCTCGTGCTTACAGTTGCTATCACGGCAGTTTTGAGTAGCTCGTCCTTCCGATGTGGTTTCTTCAATCTGCTTCTTCAGTCTATTTCACATTTCCCTTGAGTTTACTCTTGAGGTCACTGCTTGCCAGTGTGTGTTTGAGTGTGTGCTTGTTGTTTGTACGTTTGGACACCTTCATTCTTCAGACTGCACTTATCATCGGCTATGCCGCCCAGCAGAGCTCTTGAAGACTATTCTTGCGACTCTGGTTTTGGGATGTTGCATGTTTTTAGCGGCCCGAGTTGCTCGCGGTCGCCCAAAGCAAAAATAACGGGGCAGAGACGCGGAAGTACAGCTGCGAAAGCCGGTCGAGCGTGGAAAAAAGCCTCGGAGCTCTAAACCCTAAGCACCTAAACCCCTAAGCCCTAAACCCCTAAGCCCTAAACCCATTGCAGGTGCGTGGAGGGAAAGTGGATCGCAGGACGGCGGATCTCGTGCTCGAGGCCATCAGCTCTCAGATCCGGAGCAGGTCTAAGAGATGCTGATATAGGGGCCTTAAGAAAAAATAGGATAGGGTTTTGGGGCCCAATGTACTATAATCATAACAAGGAAGCCCCAAAATAGTATTGGTAGTTATTACTAAGAGATGCTAGCACAACAGTTCCTGAAGACCTATGAAAGATGGGTTCTACAAGGGTAATCTGGCGCTGTAAAGTCTGGTGTAGTAAGTTCATCATGGTTTCGGGTTTTGTGGAGGGAGCCATGCAAGTTTTTTGGGCTGCCTTGGCAGGTGCTGGACGTGGCAGATCCTAGTGGAAAGTTGCGAGGCAAAGCGAGCCCGAGTCTCAGTCACAAAGAAGGCATCCTAAGACTTTGCAGAAGATTTGAAGCTCAATGTAGAAGCTTAAATAGTTGCTAGTAGTATTCCTTCGATTTCCAAGTTAGAACTATAGTTCAATGGAGCCCACCCACACCTCAAAGCCCCATTCCAATTGTCACGGCCAACCCCTAAACTCTCAAACCCTAAACCATCCTAAACCCCTAAACCCTAAACCGCTGAACCCTAAACCCCTAAACCCTAAACCCCTAAATCCCTAAACCCCAAAACCCTCAACCCCTAAAACC